CAGGGATGGGCGGGTAGACAATGTCGACGTAGACAATGCAATTGTCTACGCGTAGACAATGATCTAGATGAAGACTTAATTTGGAAGAGTCGACAATGTAGACAATGTCGACAATGTCAACAATTAAGAAACTCTCAAAACTAGAAAAAGGTGTGTTTTTATTTTAAACGAAATACCCTGTATATTATTTAAATTTTGAAAAATAATCTGCTGTCAGAAAAAATAAATGAATGGAAATGTAATTTTCTTAGGTATGTGATGTCGACTATTTTAAACACCCTGTATATTATTCAAATTTTGAAAAGAGAACCCTTTTCTCATTTAAACAATTCTAAGTAGGCAGCTGTCAAATGAATGTAACATTTGTCTAAGTTATTTCAAATTTTAGACACTAATGACATCTAGTATTAAAGACAGTTGCTGTCGATATTTAAATTGTTTTAATTATTGGTAAAAATGAGGGTACACTTATAAAGCAAGATATAAAGCATAATATTGTTGATAACTGTTTTAACAAAAATTTCACTATTTGAAACGTAAAATACCTAAACAATTAGACCAATGTTGTATTGATCGACAGTTACTTAGAATTACCTAAACGTACCTAATGTATTAAATCGTGAAATGTTGAAAGTAACTATATACAAAGTGTGTATTTTTTTAAATCCGAAAAGTGCCTTTTACATTTTGCATAATATACTGTTGTCCCATTTAAAATAATCGGCAGTGTTTCACAAAAATTTAACATTTCTGTTAAATTTGCTTTACGTCCGCTCATTTTATATTTATGTAAAAACAGCCAAACAGAAAAAGTTGAGTGATGAATTGAGCCACGCAGATACCTGACTTCTGTTACGAGCAGGTGCTCCATCTTTGTTGGTAGTACATTTGATTTTGCAAAGCTAATTGAACGTCATCTAGTACGCCATCAACAATATTTTCTAATAAATCCGTGTATCTCTTTGAATTCAAACGGTCTACAATAATTTGAGGAGGCAGAATGGCTCCGTTGAAGACTCCTCCCCAGACACTTATGGAGAGTCTTCTTTGAAACGCGGAAGGTCATATCACATGAGGATTTTCAATGGATCAGATAGATTTATAGCAATTCTCGTAAAGATAATTTCATCGCTTCACAATATCTTTTGATGGAAATTTTCGTCATTATCGATATTTTCTAACAACCACCTGCAAAATTGTATCCTTTTTTCAGAATCACCAGGATGTAAAGTTTGTACTTTATGTAGCTGTTATGGGTGCAGTTCATCTCGGATAAAAATTCTCCAGACGCTGCTTCGTGGAATACCTACCCAACGACCTCAGAAAGGATAGACAGTGCATTGTCTTGGTTTGTTTTGTTCTACTGTAAATATTTTGAGAACTCAGCTTCCTATTGGCTAAAGACATGTGGTAAGGTGCGCGCGCAGTACCTGCTCTATGCCAGATGTTTATTATTGTTTACGACTGTCGGCCGCCATTAATTCTTTGCGTGCTTACTGAGTTTAACGTTGTGTTTACTGTGGATTATTAGTTTCTTTGGCAGAATTTATTGTTTTTGTGAATAGACAATGGGAAAATATTGTGTTACATGTAGATTTCACTTTAAAAGTGGAGGCAATCGCTCTTTTTACAGGTAGGTAGATTTACCATGGGCGTAACAGATAACAGACGGTAGTTTAAAACAAAACTTGAAATAGAAAATTTGCAGTGCAATAATATTGAAAATATAAAATATTTTTTTAAAACGTGAATTGTGTGTTACGGTTAAATAAAAAGTAACATGAATTGCAAAGGCAACATTATTCAAAAGGAAATATACCTAGGTAATTTGATTTTAGGATTCCTTCGAATATTGAACGCCGAGACGTTTGGCTTTCTCGCATTTTGAGCTGTATAGGAAAGGAAAATAGTCCTAAAGATAGTGTTGTATGTTCAGATCACTTCACATCAAGTGATTTCTTAATAAGACCTGGTGGCCGAGTTTATCTTAAGGACACAGCAGTTCCTGAGTTCCCAAGTTCGTTTAGTCAAAATATAGGACCCCTATTAAAATTGTATAAACAATTTTTTGCACATAATTCGGGATCACTTTGTAGCAATTGTCACCATAACAAATTAGATCCAATAAATCTGTTTTAAGAATCAAAGAACTTAAAAATGTGTGTAATAACCCCATTTACTATTTCTCTTTCATTTATCACTTAATTGTCCTACTTGATATGCATATTATTGTATACAAGTATAGTATAGCTACCATACTATATGCAACTGTAACTGTAACTTTGTGATTCCTATTTGAACTGGTAAAAACTTTTATTAATTAGTATTATTTAACATATTGATGTATATTGTTACTGAGAAAATAAAGATTGTTGTAACTAGTATTACTTTTTTTCGGCAGTAAGTGCCGTTATGGAGTAA